TAAATTATAAATTTTATGTATAAAATTTTTTTTATTTATTTATAAATATTTTTTATTTTTATGATAAATATAATTTGCAAATATTCAAATCTTGATGATTGATGCTTACAACCGATAACACAGAGCTTGACTTGGCAGAGCATGCGAGAAAAAGGGTTAAACCATGCACTCTGTAATTGCACCAAATCAGAAATCTTTCAGTCTGTGTCTGCACTCTGGGATGACCTGCAAAGCCCTGAGGTGGAACTCGAGATAAACACTTCGATGCTTAAGTCAGCAATAATTGGGACTACCTTTAGGGTGGAGATAAAAAGAGCTTAGGGTTGGTTTCAATTACCTTTTTACGTGACCCGGGGGTATTTATAGGATCCAATGAGGAACCCACGTGGCATGCCAAGCAATATAATCGGAGCCTGACGTGTCTATCCAGAAATTATTCCGGGACCGGGAATTTGAGAGGTACTCAGATGTACGTACGTCTACTATACCTGCTGTGCGTCTCATCATAAGGAATCAGGTGCGAGCATGCTTATTGTCATTGCCATGCAGCTATTTGAGCGGGAACCTTTGGATTTATCCTTCACTTCGGTCATAAAGGAATTACTGTAGCAGTCCGAGGTTTGGCACCTCAGACCTGTCCTTACACTATTCCCCTCCCCCGAAGTCATTCACTTGTGAATGATGTCGTTGGGGATAATGTGGGGAGTGCATAAACAAAGAGAATACAGATAAGTCATGGAAGTAAAAGGAAGAAATAACATCTGTAACTAAAATGCACATATAGCCGTAGCTAGTAATGAAGTATGTAATAGTGGGTTATACTGGGGGTGCCTTAAATAGAATATGACCAGAGCGATCATGACCGTGGTCGTGGTAAAAATAATGACCGGAGTTAACGTGACCGTAGCCATATTAAAAGATGATGACCGGAGTCATGGTGGCCGGAGCCGTAATAAAAAGTGATCATCGGAGTCATAATGTAACCAAGGCCGTGATAAAAAATGATGACCGGAGTCATAGAGGCCGGGGCCGTGATAGGAAATGATGACCGGAGTCATAATGGCCAGAACCGAAGTAAAGCATGTGTCTTTGTGGTCGGAGCCGAAGTGAAACGTATCACACTAAGTCACTGTGGCCATAACCAAAGTGAAACACTATATGCAAATTAAAAAGTGTAATTGTAAAAGTAAACAGAAGTGTTGGGTTAGGCTTAGGTATAAAGACGGGAGTCATAATGGCCAGAGCCATAATAAAATATAATGACCGGAGTCATAATGGCCGGAGCTGATGTGAAATGTAATGCAGGATTATTGTGGCTAGAGTCGAAGTGAAACACTTGCAAAATTGAGAATGTGTAAAAGTAAACGAAGGTGTTGAAATGGGCGTAAGTGGGCCCGTCTGAAAAGTCTGACAAAGGGGTAGTACGTGGTGTGACAGTTGTCTTTGGAATGACGTGTGCAATAAATGCAGCCGTAAAAAGATAACTGCAACAATTAAACGGGCAAATTTAAAAACGAACCGTTGAGTTCAAAATGATACCGTTTGGGGTTGGCCGTCGAATGCCAAACGGCGTCAATAGGAACCGTAAGATTAAACGAATCTCAGCCGTTGAGATCTAATTTTGCCCAGAAGTATAAATAGGCATTTTTTCTGCAGAAAGAGGTTTACTTGCATTTCTTTTCCTGCAAAACTTCTGCGAAAAGCTTTACTGTGTGTTTCCTGCGTGTGAACTGCGGCATCATTTGGGGATTTCTACATCAAGCTTTCAAAACTGAAATCAAGTAATGTATACGAACCCCTGATTTTGGTTTAATCGATGTGTCATTCTCCTTTCTCCCTTTCTGTGGTTGATTTAGAGTCTT